CACTAGTGAAAAATATATTTCACGACCACTGCATATCACCGCGAATGTCGCGTTTTTTACAGAGTTTTACGCCACTTCACGTAAAAGGGCTGAAACTCCAGTGTGAAACACCCTAGTGATAAGAAAAACACTAGTGAAAAACATATTTTACGACTACTGCATATCACCGCGAATGTCGCGTTTCTTACAGACTATTACGCCACTTCACGAAAAACGGCTGAAACTTCAAAGTGAAACAACTGAAGTTGCGCCTCCACTGTTAGTAAGCGATGAATGCTAGAAATCGGGAATCGAAACAATTTCCTCCGAAATTTTGAATTACCTCTCCAACCACTGCGTGAAGTAAGCACTGCTCTCTTTTAATAAATACCTACAACATCAACGAAATAAGAATATGTCGATCTGCACACAACACCAGTGGGAAAATATGCACATGTTCAACCACGTTGAAATTATCAAAATTTCAAGGAAAAATTTAGAAAATTTTCGTTGGTTTTCGTACCTTTCTACCCGAAGTCGTGCATTTTTATAATGTAGCTTTGGAGACTCCTGAGCTCCACTGAAGAGAGCGAACATATACACCTCCAGTGCGAGCTTTATGACAGATACAACTATGCTTCGAAACGACTCCAAAACGACTATCGTGATGAACGAATAATATTTTCCTCATCAGCGGACCTTTTTCCCTACAGAAATAAAAATCTATAAATATGTGTTCATTTGAGTTTCACGACCCGTTTTATGTGAAGTGGCGTAAAACTCGGTGAAAAACGCGATATTCGTGGTGGTATGCAGTAGTCGTGAAATGTATTTTTTACTAGTTTTTTTCATATCACTAGGGTGGTGAAACTTCATTATTCTTTCCATACGTTTCTATATCAGACGAATTTATCGTTAAATCTAAAACCACTCCCGCCGTAGATTTCCAATGACATACCCTTGTTTCCGGAATAGTGACAAGCCCAGTGACGTCGGCTTCCCTTCACTTGCTGCTTCCACCGAGAGATCCCTAGCAACTCCACGATCAGCCGATGTCAACATAGCCTGACGAGATAATACAACTCTTTCAAGGCACGGAAAAAAACGACAATTGAGATTTTTCATCATACCAGCAATTGCAAGAATTTTACCCCACGACTATATGCTAAGCTACTAAGTAGTGTACGTGTTATATATCTCAACAATACAACAACACACAACTGAAAATCCCAGGCTTTCGTCCGCGACCTTGCGTAACATCGTATTAGCCAGGATAAAAATGTTACCACCGGACAACCTCCCTAACTGAGATCGATTCGTTTTTCCATGCTCAACAGTTATATACAATATTGGGGTTTCACCCGTTTTACGCGAAATTCACTGCTCACATGCGTTCTTCGCGAAGTGAAATGTGAAACTCCATTATACAATGGAGTTTCACCCGCGATATGAAAAACACTAGTGAAAAGCATATTTCACGGCTACTGCGTAGTGTGAATATCGCGTTTTTCACGGAGTTTTATACCAGTTCACCTTAAACGGGTGAAACTCCAATATAGTAGCTCAAATTGCATGTACTCCTGATGCAGGATTTGTGGCCAACAACATGGTATTCCAACAATACCATCATCATTTCGATTCCACGTTTTGCTACACTTTTTGTAATTTACCGAGTTCAATGAAATTCTTTTCTTTTCTGGCGTTTTCTACCAAACCATCCAAACAGTATGAACATAGTAGAAACAATATTCCCAGGAAAAAAAATTTGGCGAAAAATTTCGAAAAACTTCAAAAACTCAAACATCTTCCCAATAATTTCACCATACTTCCTCAGCCATCCGTTTAACATCATTTGGGGTTGGCGTGGTAGAGCTGCTGGGCTGAGCCGGCCGACTCGGCATCGTCACTGGAGAACTACTAGCTGCATATAGGTGGCTAGGCACCGACATCATCAAGGCAACAGAACTGAGTGAAATGAATAACCATACACTTTCAATGCGATGAGTTTCCGCTTGTTATTGTTATACACAATAACAATAAAATCTATAAAACACAATTCCGGATGAAAAAAAATTTCTGAAAAATTCGAGAAAACGACCAAAATAATTCCTCAGAACTTCTTTCAGTGCACACGACTAGATGTCTCTGATCCTCATACCACCAACGCAAGTTAGCTGAAAATCCAATCCTCAAATTTGGAAATTCAAATATCAACGACGACAGAAACTCACACCAGCAGATGCGTAACAATATAGTTTGTGCAAATGTGAACAATGTGCGTTTTCTATTCCGGGATTAATGATAGTGAACAACTTGTCGCTATCATAGTCTCGAAAGGTTTCCTTTTGAACATGTTCATAGCAATGTGAACATTATCCCTGCGATAAATATAGTTTCAGATCTACTTTTCATCCACCTTGCGAGATCACCAGCATTCTCCACATTTTCATATCGAATATTTCCAAAATTGGGAAAATCGGGCTACCGCGCGCCACAAAACTTTTCCCATACCCATTTTAATGCAACTCCGACATCCATAATAATTGAAACTATACTTAACTACCAATACTCCATCATTTCATCGTCGACAATTCTCCTTACGATTTCCATTCCTCCCAGCAGAATTACTATCCAACTCGTCGTCTTCATCCTCCTCAGAGGCCTCTAGCCGCCCTTGTTCACGGAGTGCTCGAACCATCTGATAGTAGAACGAGAAATAACAAAAAATTAATTTTCCCATACCACAATTCACCCAAGTCATGCCATATAAAGCCTTCCACAAACCACTTCCGAATAAAACTTCACACGAAAGAATTTTTTCCGACGACTTTCAATCAGAAGAATGTAAAAATAACATTTTTCGCACACTTTAACCAATTAATGAAAATTATCAACTTCACGGTGGAGTTTCACCACCCTAGTGATAAGCAAAAAACACCAGTGAAAAACATATTTCACGACTACTGCATATCACCGCGACTATCGCCAGTTTTCACCGAGTTTTACGACGCCACTTCACGTAAAAAGGTTGAGCCCTCTTAAAACAGTCGTATTGAAAATGCGGCAGAAAATATACATATGGTCAACTGCACGTGTTGGTCAAAATATGAAAATTCTGTGAAAATCTTGAGAAATTATTATTCCTACCCAAATTCGCATATAAACTTCTACAATCAGCGAGGAAACTCCTCAGCTCGGCTGACTGACGCCAACATATATTCCTACAACACTGCCTTCATACCATCCCGAAAAAGAAGTTTCCTTTCTCACAACAACGCACCTAATCCCGTTTCCCACCCAAAATTATCCAAAATTACAATTTTTCTATCAAAATTTTTTCATTTTTTCAGTGGAAACAGAAAATTTTTTCAGAAAAAACTCCCCGCCCTCTTAGTACCTGCATCTCATTATAATGTCTCCGGCGTTTCTCATGGAACTCCCTAGCCTTGCGGGCCCTCTCCACCTCCTCCGCTGCACCACCCGTGGTCGCACCAGAGAAGTCTATCGTCAATAACCCCGCATTGTTTGGAATACCTTCATCCTCATCGGGTGAATTCTTTACCTAATCCTTCCAAAATCAAACAATCGCTTCGCCATAATATTTATGAATATTCACTCATGAGGATTCATTTTCATCAAATGTAGTGTTTTCAGTTCCCTTCCTCAACCGACAACAACAGCAACAAAAATGATAACCAAAATCACAATTTATTCTTCGTTTTTTCGCGATCTTTCAACAAAATCTGATATATACCTCCTAACCTCAAAGTGAATGATGTAAGAAAAAAATGATGTTGAAAAAAATAAAATTGAGTGAAAATTACTAAAAGAATTTAACCGCATTTAAAACCGCATTCTTTCCCATCGCAACACACCTTCGAATATAGAATTTGCGAATTTTACTTCAAAATTTCCAATTCCAATTCCAAGATAATAACTAAAATCAGCCAGCAATACTGCAGTTTAAAATCACCAGAAATGCCAAATGGAGTCGCAAAGAGTACAGGAAAAGTGGTACGAGGAATGCAGTTTATTTTCTCATACCACAAAACAAAACTCCAAGTTCTTTTCGTATTCAAAACACTCGAAGTAATGTGAGCAAAAATCACCTACAGAACTTGTCAAGAACAATGCATATAATAAGCACTCAAATTTTCCCAAGCCATATGCAATGCAGATATCTCATAGCACACAAATACCCAAAATTTACCGGGAAAAAACCAACTAAACTTCGCCGAAAATTTCCCTACTACTACTCCGTTGCTCAGATTTTGCATTCGCGCTTCTCTCGAGACCTCCCCTAGTTGCAAGCGACTTCTGTGGCCGCCCTCGCCCAGAGTCGAGGATGAATCCTCACTGGACTCTCCACTGCTCATTGGGGTGCGTACGAACGGAGTGTCGGGCTCGTCGATTGTCATACGAGTACCTCTGAGGTAAGCGAAAGGTCCCCGGATCGATTCTTGCACACTACATTTTTCAACAATCTAACCATTTTAACCTACATAAAACTATACACAATTATGAAATTCATAATAGGTTTATAGTTTATAGTTTATAATACAAATAAGAACTTCATAACGTCTCTCAAAAACAACTCCATTTATCGAAAATTTCATACATTGGAGTTTCACCCGCTTTTCGCGAAGTGAAATGTGAAATGTGTTTTTCACTAGTGTTTTTCACATCACGGGTGAAACTCCATTAATCCTTTCATCTATTATATCCGATAATTACTTACAATATACCACAATTTACTTTTTTCAACTTTCATAAATTTTTCCAAAAATTTACGTTTCAAAAAAAACCTCAAACTCTCTGTCGCTCATCACCCTCGCACTAAAAAACTGGAATATCACATTTTTTTCCTGTCTCCATAATTTCACACATTTCTCATACCATAAATCGCCAAATTCCACTACCTTTCCAGATCGTGTTCTGCTATAACCTCCTCGTCAAACCTAATCCTTTTACCAGCATTTCTGCTATGATCAGAAGTCGTCACCAACGCCGGCCGATTCGGCATTGTTCTCGGACGGGCATCGTGCTCATCTGCCCTACAACAGAAAACCAACTACAAACAGCTTGCCGAATTTCGATGAAGAGAAGTATAATCTTTTTTGAATTGTCCACCTATTACCATTATAGTTATAAATTATGTAATTATATTTACAGTTACATATTACAATTATAAACCACCCAATTCCAAACGATAGCTAAACAGTGGTACATATATATTCTAACACGGGTTTGAAAATCAACAATTTCAAAACCGTTTGGTAAAAAAGAAAGACTAAAAATAAGAAAATATTAAATTTCTCGAAAATAATGCGGGAAAAATGCAAAGAAAATATTTTACTTACTCGAACTTGCTTGTTGACAAAAACACCAAAGAATGTGGCGTTGTTATCAAGTATTAATGGTATGATTATAATATAATAAAATGGAGTTTCACCCTAGTGATATGAAAAACACCAAGTTGGAAATATATTTCACGACTATTGCATATCACCGCGAATATCAGATTTTTTCACAGTTACGCCACTTCACGTAAAACGGGTAAAAAACTCCATTATTTGGTACTTATATATAAGTTTTCTTCACTGGAGTTTCACCCTAGTGATATGAAAAACACTAGTGAAAAACATATTTCACAATTCACTTTGCTGAAATTATGTTACCGGTCGCGGAAACATATACGTCCTATAATCTACATGGAGTATTACGCCACTTCACGTAAAACAGGTGAAAACTCTAGCACACCATCCAACTATGCAATACATATACTATACATATGAATTAGTTTCCGTACATATATCAAGGCTCGGCTGCTCAGTGCGCAGCGATACTGTTATATTGGCTACTATCTGACTGGTGAACTAATTGCACTATTGCTAATACTAAAATACACTATCACTATCACCATTTATATACAACTATGCAATACATATACTATACATGTGAATTAGTTTCCGTACATATATCAAGGCTTGGCTGCTCATTTCGGAGCTGCTGAGTTCGCAGCCATACTCCTATCAGCCTGGTAAAAGAAATGATGCTAAATGAAAAAATATAATCTCACTATTTACATGAAAACCAATTTCAATATCTCCAAAATTGGAGTACCCCCGCAAAAAAAATAAATTATGAATTTAAAATTCTCCGAAAATTCTCGACGAGGCAGCAACTACTCTTACCCTGTAGTGTTGTTATCAAATCTAATCCTCCTTTTCTCGCTTCCCGAACGATCGTCCTCAGATTCACCTCCACCGTCGTGTGAAGTGGGTTTCATGATGTAGAAATAGAATCTCACAAATGATGACTATAGTGATTGTCATCCATTTTCATGCAAAAGGAGTTGTTGAGCATTGCGTCTTCTCGTCCCCTTGTTTAGACACAAATGACATTTACTATCCCTTCATATGTTCATTTATTATGTTGAATAAGTTTCCACAAAGTCTTGTACTTTGCGTTAATTCTTAATCATTTAAACTTTCGGGACAGCGATATGATTTTTCGATGGAAAAATTGTAAAAAATCAAGTAAAATCGGACATTAAAATAGCTTTAACTTTTTAACAAAACAATGGCAATTGGAATTTTCCAAATTTTTAAATATTTACAGTTCGTATCTGAATAGCAGAAAAAATCACAAATTTTCGAATTTTTCCCGCCAAAAAAATGCATCACAAATAATCCAATACCACCCTTTCCACAATAACTACAAACACAAGAACTTCCTTCTGTTGATGCCAATGTGAGAGAACGATATACGATTGTGCGATGTGTCGTGACGATATCGATAAGCTGAAGCTAAGCTGAGTAGTGATTCCCCATTCCAAATAGTTGTATTCATACTTGTTTTACTCCTTTACTCTCTCCGACAACGAGTGTTACAAACAGTGGTTGAGTTCTAATACACCAAGGCTAACCGAGGACGTTGGAGAGCATAACACAATGCAGTTGTAGTTGGATTAAAAGAGTGTATATTATCTTGCTTTCGTTCTCCAGTACTAAGGCCGTTTCGTGCTTGGCGTGCGCTACTGAAGATATTAATTATAAGGAGTATGAGCACACCATGATGGATGAGAAAAAACAAGTAGACGGTAATATACCACAATGCTAATCGATACAATTTTGGATTTCAGATCCGATTTTAGTATCGTCTTATGCGTGTAAGAAAGGATTTTTAGCTCGAAATCGATTGATCGTACCACGCCACGGCGTTCTCACATCACTGTGGCACGCCCATGATACTAATAAAACAGCTGCTAGTCGGTCGTCAATGGAGTTTCACCCTAGTGAAAAACAAATTTCACGACTACTGCATATCACCACGAACATCGCGTTTTTCACCGAGTTTTACACCACTTCACGTAAAACGGGTCGTGAAAGTCCACTGAATACGACCAAGTGAGATCTTCATCCACCTCTTGAGGTTCTAAGTCGTAATACACATGTCAACCCGTGCAGAGCTGCCCAACGGACAACATTAGATTAACATTACATGCACTCTGTAGCGATTACTTTGCCTCTTGTGTGCTTTCTATTACTCCCCTTCATAAGACGACTGTAGCCATCTTGGATCAAGAAAATATTTCGATTCTTGACTTGCTTCGTAAACGACAACTTAGCAATCTCCATACTCATTTGGTATGTACGGTAACGAAGAAGTTGACTATGGTGATGATGACAGTATTTCATCCTCTTGGGATGATACTGCTCAAACGTCGGACACTCATCTCTTCCAATACACAACTTTCACGATGCGATGGAAGTGTTTCGATCGCGAGCTCGAGACCGTGTGAGATCACAGTCGCCCTTCTCCTTGAGAGTGATAGTAAAATGAACGTTACTAATGACCTAGATGTAACCTGATACAACACCTGTACTTAACCGTAATGGCGAACAGTAATGAATCGTCATTAGCCAAATAGATCAACTGAGTAATGCATCACTAGTGGCTGATGATAGATTCTCCCATCATAAAGAACTGTGACGAGTGGGTTACTAAAGATTAAGACCTTGTTATCCTCTAGAACATCCTACAAGCTGTGCTGAAGTCTAGGATAGCTACTATGCTATGCCAGTATAATGATACGAGTGAGAGTTGATAGGCTGAAAACATTATTATCACATACAATGCATCGAACACCTTATCATCACTAGACATCAACGAAATAGATGTAGTTTCGGGCCTATCCAGTTCTGGCATATACTGCTGTTCTCAGTAAGATAGAGATTTATCAACATGAAACTTCAGCTCTAGTAGCTGATAAGTGATTTAATCATCATTGAAACTATGACAGTACATTCTGCGTAGACATTCACAGTCAACTCCCGAGTCGTAATCGATTGGTTATAGCTCGTGAGGCGAACGCTAACTCTATCAAGACCGCGCTCGTCACGACTGGCTCGCGCAGTATCGCACGTTCAACCGTTGTAATTCTTGATAACTTGGCCCACCTCATGATTTCTCTCATTCATTTATTTTATCGGTGTAACAGTTTAGTTGGGGAGAGTAATGGGATGTCTATGAAGCGATCCGGGTTCGATACAGGTGGCATTTATTTTATCGCAAATGATGTATAATGTACTGTAAGTGAATACGCCACATCTTGGCTATGACTTCAACCCTCCCACATAAAGAGCCTAGGCCTGTCAAGTGGCAACTCATTTTTGTCAACAACCAACCAAAAGCATCTCCCAGTGATGCCTGTTGCCAATCACTTCACCTGCTTGGGTCTCCATTGGCAGACTCTTCCTCAGCCCTCTCCTCTCATCCGTCCTTCCCAACCACATAGGATTTCCTACAAGTAATTTTCACACGTAGGTGGTCCCATGTGTGCAACTAAGCTTCAAGTCATCCGCGGTCGCTTGAGTTTAGTCCATAGCACTTTCATGTTTTGTTCATTTATTATCTCTGCACTGCAATGCTGTTATGCAAAAGTTTCACAATTTACTCCGTAAAATCTTGAGGAGTGAATTGTGAACCAAATTGAGTTCCATTTAAGAAATTCCCTCGTCAAGTTCGAATGCGTGTCTTTCGCTAGAGCGTTCTGATCAGTTCTCTCGAGCTGTCTCTTTTTCTTCAATGTCCGAGGTCCGCATACCCGTCAAGTTGTTCGTAGGGAAGCTGCCGTGTGATTGGGATGAGGAGGAAGTGCGGAGTCTATTCGGACCGTAGTAACGGGAGGTCTCAGTCGTTACAGAGAACTAGTTTGTGGTATAATAATGATCCTTTTTACGGACTCATTTTCACTTGTGAAAGAGGATCTGTGGGGTACCACCCTTCCAGAAGTCCCGTAGTGGCTTTTTCGGTACACTTTATCGGTTTGCTCGCATAAAAAAAGTATAGACAAACGCACCAACACATAGAGAGCTATGAAAATGTGGCTGAAATGAATGTATAGTAGTATCATGTTAATAGGATAGTACAGGTGGAGTAGCCACGAGAGGCGCAGAAGATCTCTTTTGCGGTGCACTAACAAAACCAGTGAACGTTTATATTGCCAGTACTAGAGCCAGTGGATTGGTTTTCGTGTTGAAGTAGTTGTATATGTTTGTGTCTTCTTTTAAGTAGACGGAGTTGTTCGTAGTAGTAGAGTTGGTGCAGCTGATGCAGGGATGACTGGTGTTGTTCTATATTCAGTTATGGTGACGTTGAAGAGGTTAGCATAATCCGACCGAAGACTAACCCTGGCAAGGGACAGAAATATGGTAGGTTCTTGGCGCTCAGCGATAGCATTATACC